TGTCCCAGCTGTGCCAGTTGGCATCTCTGTATGGAGTTTGCATGTTCTCTCCGTGTTTGAGTGGGTTTCCTCCGGGTGCTCCAGCTTCCCCCACAGTCCAAAGACATGCAATACAGGTGATTTTAATCAATTAAATTGGCCATTGTGTGTGTGTGTGTGTGTGTGTGTGCGTGTGTGTGTGCGTGCGTGTGTGTGTGTGTGTGTGTGTGTGTGTGTGTGTGTGTGTGTGTGTGTGTGTGTGTGTGTGTGTGTGTGTGTGTGTGTGTGTGTGAATGAGTGTGTATGAGTGTTTCCCTGTACTGGGTAGCAGCTGGAAGGGTATCCGCTGTGTAAAACATATGCTAGATAAGTTGGCGGTTCATTCCGCTGCGGCGACCGCTGATTAATAAAGGGACTAAGCCAAAGGAAAATGAAGGAATGAATTCTAGAAGAGGCTGAATTCAACAGAAGCCAGAGTTTTGTTATTCATTAAGGCAGTTTTAAATCTAGAGTCACAGTTTGACCACATTATGTTGTACCATCTGTAAAGATCTAAGAAGTATGAATAACATTTCACAATGTTGATGTAGCATGTGCTAATATGCATGACTGTGCCAGATTCATTTATATAGAGTGCCTAATTGCTTGCCACTATTTCAATAGCACTGCATCATTTTCGGATTAATTGCTTATATTCAATGCATAAATAAGTAAAAATATTGTGGGCATAGACAGGCTGACTGGATTATGCAAGCAGGTGAAGCTAAAGATATTTTTGGTGCACTTTGCTTGCTGTGAATACTTTTCGAATATTGATGTTTAATACAGCACTATTGGTAATATTTTTCTGCATGATTTCCACTATTTAGCAATTGAATTATTGCAAAAAAATTGGTGTGAAAAAAAACATATATAAATATAATTAATTAACTCAACAGTAGGTCTGTCTTTAAAGGGAAAGTTCACCCAAAAATGGAAATTAGTTCTAAACAGGCAGTATTCGTGCATGTTGAATTGTTTAACCATTTAGTTTCCACCATATCATTCTTACATGGCAGGGCGCCACACCAAAATTCAGCTTCTCATTCGAAACCTTCAGCTGTTGCTGTTTTTTTTGCAGGTTATAATCACACCCAAACGTATTAAAGGGTGCTTTCACATCTGTTGTTTGGTTCATTTGGTCCAGACCAAATGCAACAAATTTTACATTGTAGCATTTTTCTGCCGTTTTTGGGTCCTTTTTACACCACACTGATTGCTTTGGTCCGACCCAGTTGAAAATAACCAAAATGCAGTCATGTGACAAAATCTACATCACTCATTGGCCAGATGTCATTGAACGTATTTCCTGAACTGCTTTCCGATTTGTCAGAATTACCGTTCGGGAAAATGCAAATCTAACTCCCGCAAGTAAACCGGCAGACACAAAATGTCGCTTTTTACTATGGAGGGATGACTAGAGCTGGCTTATTGTATCCCTGGTCATAGTATACTATATAGCAGGGATCACCAAACGTGTTCCTGTAGGGACGGTGTCCTGCAGATTTTAGCTCCAACCCTAATCAAACACACCTGAACAAGCTAATCAAGGTCTTACTATACTTGAAACACCCAGGCAGGTGTGTTGAAGCAAGTTGGAGCTAAACCCTGCAGGGCACCGGACCTCCAGAAATGAGATTGGTGACCCCTGCTAAATAGTTAAACGTAAATGAAGTGTGGCTGCGGCTGGAAAACAATGTTTGCAAACGGCGAAGGCGCATCGCAAGTCATTTCAGGAGGAGGCGTGAATTAATTTAGCTAAACTGCAACATGGTCATCTTCCGGAAAAATTACCCACGGTCCATTAGGTAATTCTTCAAGGAGGTCTCGGTACGCTTGTTTGGTCCGCTTTTGGTGCGCACTCGAGGGCGATTGCTTCATTCACTCCTGCCCAAACCGCACCAAGAGGGAAAACAAACTCTAGTGTGATTCAACTGAGCTAAATAAGGCAGGTGTGAAAATACCCAAAATGTAAGTGCATTATAACAGAGCGAACTTTTCTGTAATTGTAGTAGAGATGTGCGTTATTTGTTTAACCCTCACATGCTGACTGACTGACAGGGCTGCGCAATGCGTTAAAAATATAAACTATTTCGAAAGACAAATAAAGAAAAAGTAGTTATCATTTTATTATATATTAGTTATTACCTGTTTTTAATAGATTATAGCTCTTTATTAATAATGAGACATCAACTATTAAGGCACGGTGTGGCTCAGTGGTTAGCACTGTCGCCTCACAGCAAGAAGGTCGCTGGTTCGAGTCCCGGCTGTGCCAGTTGGCATTTCTGTGTGGAGTTTGCATGTTCTCCCCATGTTTGCATGGGTTTCTTTGGGTGCTCCAGTTTCCCCCACAGTCCAAAGGCATGTGGTATAAGTGAAATGGGTAAACAAAATGGGCTTTAGTCTATTAGTGTGTATGGGTGTCTCCCAGTGATGGGTTGCAGCTGGAAGGGCATCTGCTGTGTAAAACATATGGCGGAATAGTTGCCAGTTAATACAGCTGTGTTGACTAAGCAGAAGGAAAATAAATGAATGACTTTAAATCCATCATGGAATTTTTTATCCCCCCACAACCCCCCTGCCCTCTCTACCCCTCCCAAAATAAAAAAGTTTCAACTGAAGAATAAAAAAGACATGTAAAATTTTAACACGAGAAGATGAGAAAACGGACATCCTCTCTGCTTAATAAAACAAATGAATGGAAGCGTACTCACTCACTGTCTAACGGCGCACAATTATATGAGCATTAAGAGTGTTGCATTAGCATAAGCTTCATCTGTTAGCTTTCACGCTGCACGATCAATCCCTTTTTAATTTGACTGGATGTTTGATCTGGGCTGCTGCTGAAGGCTTGTTTCTAAACCAATGCTCACACGCGCTACAGCAAGCAGTTTTACGGCATCTAGTAAATACTGTGTAATTCAGACACTTGGAGAGAATAAATCCTGAATTCGCAGAAGATGATTTACTGAAAAGGACTGCGCTCACGGACATGCTGCTGAGCTCCAGATGTGAAGCTCAAAACATCCCCTGTAAAAGCAAATAGGGGTCGTCTTCTTTATTCGGGGATGTGTTTTTTTTTTTCTTTGCCGTTTACAATGTGCCCTCAACATGTTTTTGGTATTGCTTGACTGTGTGTAAGACACCGACCATTCATTTAGTGACACTAATTGCATGCTGTGACGTCAATAGATGGTCAGAAGTGAACATCTTTTATGTGTATCATGGATGAGTCAGAATCATTAGCTAATATCATTAGATAATGAACATCCTTAATGCATGCTCACAAATCTTCCAAGATATTGTAGAAAGCCTTTAATTTTTTCCTCCATTTTGTTTTTTTTTATCATGCTATGTACACTCAAAAAAGTATTTGCTGCTTGTTCAAAGTACTTATTTAAAATGAGCTGAATCAACACAATTCATGAGAGGTTTTTTGGACAACGTAATTGTTTTATGTTCAGTCCACTTGAATCTGTAAAACAATTAAGTTAACTTAATTGATTTGTGTTGGGACAACATGAAGGAATTGTGTGGAACCCAGCATTTTTTTTACAGTTTACTCTGGGTTCCTCACAATTAATTTGTGTTGGGACAACTTGAGGAAACTAGTTAATTATTTGTCACTTATTAATATTTAGTTACTTATTAGTTTTTACAAATTTAAGTGGATTGAACATAAAACAATTAAGTCATCCTCTAATTATCAAGAATTCAGGTCATTCTGAACAAACATCAAATGTAATTTTTTTAGCTTGATATACAGGGGTCAACATTGTCCTAGTATAAGAATGGGTGTTGTTCAATATTTTTAGGACAACTTTGATGAAAGGTGATGATCCAATTCAAATGTTGATATACTTATACATATTAAATCATATAGTAACATATTTAATTAAAATAAATAATAGTAATATTATATATATATATATATATATATATATATATATATATATATATATATATATATATATATATATATATATATATATATTCATTCTGCAATAACAGAACTCGTACAGCTTCTTCACCCTTCTATATTACTCCATCCACATAGTGATAGCAGATCAATAAACTCACTACAGTTTGACAAATATTGCTGCTGTTGGACAACATAATGTATTTTTCTGGGTTTTTTAATGTTAGATTGTAGTTGTTTAGATTGCATCTATGCACTTTATAAGGATAGTGTCTATTTTAAATATTTAGAGTTTATGACAGATATCGCGTCAACATACATTAGCCTGTCATACTGAACAGAGCAAAGACTGTTGATATTCTGCAACAAAATGGTGACAGAGACTGCATAATCAGCCCTAAGAGGAGAAAAACTTAGCGAGATTTCAAACTACAGCTGATCAAACCATTATAAAACAGTTCAGTGACTTTCTATGTCAGTAATGTTTTCTTTTGCTTTGGCTTTTTCAGGGCTAATTATTGTGATATCCCGATTGCAACAGAGAAATATTTACAAATGTTTCTAGACAGTTGTATGTTTCTAGAAAATCCCCTGTTTTGTCATCACTTTAGACTTTACGCTAGAGAATCATCCAAATACTAGCTCTAAAGTGATGCTTGTGAATTAGCAAGAGTTTCTACTGTTCTGATGTCAGCTGCAAATGTAAAGAAATGGAGGAAGAAAGTTCATCGTACAAAAAGATTTTTAGAATCTCGTGTTTGATTTACTTATATATATATATATATATATATATATATATATATATATATATATATACATACATACACATAATTATGCTGTCAAACTGTTGTATAAACACAATATATATATATATATATATATATATATATATATATATATATATATTAGTGTGGTATAAAATTATTCACTTTGGCACAAAATAAAATAAATAAAATATCACAAAACTTGGCCAAATGATTAATTTTTTTTTTTTATTTAATTTAAAGAAAATAAACAAGTATTATGTAAGTCCGAAAAACAAACCTGAAAAAGAGTCAACATGACAATTTTGTACCTCATTTATCATATGAAAAAGACACGATTATAGTGCATACATAGATAAATATACAATTTAGTACATTCATTAATAGATAGAGTTCCATTCATTGTATGTACATTTAATGTATTTTGTTCAAAATGTTACAAAAAAAAAAGAAAATAAGGATTTAAGGACAGGAGTTATAATCTTGTCATTGACTTCTGCTAATCAACCTGGTAATGCATGACAAAAGACAGAAACAGGCAAAAATATAAACGGCAGTAACATTGTATCTCCTCTAAGGATAAAAGGTACAAAAAGCCATTTCAAAAGGTACATTTGTAACTGTACTGTACTTTATTTTGCCCTAAATAGTGTATAATATTGCCTTAAAGACAGCATATTAACACATAAAGCATACATTAGTACCTACATGATACATATTAGTGCACTGAAAATGTACTAATTAATGCTTCAGGGGAAAATAAAGTACCAAAATATGCCTTTTGAAACGTGACAGCTTTTATACCTATTTTCCAGAGAGTGTATGTTGTATCTGAAATGGCTGTGCTTCTCTTGTGTTCAGCTGCAGCAGTATTAAAGGCAAGATTAAACGGTACTGTACTCTGCTGTTTGTAACATGAAGGCATATTCAAGCAGATCTCTTCAAGGGAGGAGGGCATTTCATGTACTGTGTACAACCGGTAAATACTCAAGAGCTTGTCTAGCTGTCAGAATGAGGGGCCAACAGATGCTTCCGTACGAATATAGCAGTCTTCCCAGCAGTGTGTAAGTCATTTTTGTGTTTTCCCACCTGCCTGTATACCTCCACTATCTTTCGGCTGGAAAAAAGCTCCATTTCAACTGGATTTTATTTACAATCTCCAATTACCCTTCACTAAGGCTCAGCTTTGCTTTTCTTGTTCATTTCACTCTTGTAAGTCACATCCAAAAAGGGAATTCAACTAACATTCGGACCCCTCGCATTCATAGTTCACAAGGATTCTTTGATTAGAGTTTTCTGGTCAGAGCAAGGCCAGCTGTGGATGTGTGTCCTCTTAGCATTGCTCTTCTCCCAGAGACTCGGTGTTGTCTCCCTGGTCCACTGGAGCCGGTGGGGAACGCATTTTCCCACGACTGTTTCCGTGGCTGCTTCCGTGGCTTGGGTAAACATCTACCGAGCTGGAGATGGACTGGACAGATCTGTCACGGAAGTAGTGGAAGGTCTCGGGGTCCAGGAAGGTTTGCTCCTCGCGTAGGCCTTGCTCAAAGAGCTTCCGTTTGTGGCGAAACTCGATCACCGTCTTTGTGTAGGAGTTGAGGGTGGTGACGGAGGCGGCCATACAACAGGTGAACGAGCCCCAGGCCATACTGTCAAACAGACACGCATATAAAACAGGATGTTATTATACAAGATTTTATAAACTATTTATTTGGCATAGTGCATTGTTGAAAGATGGATGAGCACACAGACATATACACTGTGTCCTAACTACATGCAATGCAACAATGCATTGTAGATGGATGTAATTAAGTTTGTTTGGTTGTGTTGCATCTGGTGCGGACCACCAAATTGCTTGTAGCTGGAGTCTTGTCTGGATGGATGGATGGATTAATGGAAGGATCGGTGATAGATAGATAGATAGATAGATAGATAGATAGATAGATAGATAGATAGATAGATAGATAGATAGATAGATAGATAGATAGATAGATAGATAGATAGATAGATAGATAGACAGACAGAGAGATGGATGGATGGATGGATGGATGGATAGATAGATAGATAGATAGATAGATAGATAGATAGATAGATAGATAGATAGATAGATAGATAGATAGATAGATAGATAGATAGATAGAGGGATAGATAGAGGGATGGATGGATGGATGGATGGATGCTGTAGATGGATGAATTTAGGTTTGTTTGGTTTTGTTGCATTTGGTGCGCACCACCAAATTACTTGTAGCTGGATTCTTGTCTAGATGGCTGGCTGGATGGATGGATGGATCCATGGATGGATGGATACTGTAGATGGATGTATTTAAGTTTGTTTGGATTTGTTGCATCAGGTGCGGACTGCCAAATTACTTGTAGCTGGATTCTTGTCTAGATGGATGGATGGATGAATGGATGCTGTAGATGGATGAATTTAGGTTTGTTTGGTTTTGTTGCATCAGGTGCGGACCGCCAAATTACTTGTAGCTGGATTCTTGTCTAGATGGCTGGATGGATGGATGGATGGATGGATCCATGGATGAATGGATACTGTAGATGGATGTATTTAAGTTTGTTTGGATTTGTTGCAGATGGATGAATTTAGGTTTGTTTGGTTTTGTTGCATCAGGTGCGGACCGCCAAATTACTTGTAGCTGGATTCTTGTCTAGATGGCTGGATGGATGGATGGATGGATCCATGGATGAATGGATACTGTAGATGGATGTATTTAAGTTTGTTTGGATTTGTTGCATCAGGTGTGGACCGCCAAATTACTTGTAGCTGGATTCTTGTCTAGATGGCTGGATGGATGGATGGATGGATGGATACTGTAGATGGATGTATTTAAGTTTGTTTGGATTTTTTGCATCATGTGTGGACCGCCAAATTACTTGTAGCTGGATTCTTGTCTAGATGGATGGATGGATTGATAGTTACCGACACAAGAAATGTGTACCTAAACTTATTTATCCAACATAATTCTTCTAAATGTTGTCAGAACTTCATTAAAAAGGCTGTCTGAAATATTTCATTCTAAACAATGCTGCTGATTTATGAGCTTCCTAAAGCAGAATGGATAAATGATGCAATTGTTGTTGCAGGCTACTCAGGCTTGTTTTTTAGGTTGTCACTGTCAGTTATTTGTTGTTGATGATGTTAAGAGCTCATCTCTAATGTTTGTTTATAGTCACCATTGTTAAGGTCTGCATTTTTTGAGTCATAATAAAATGCTCTAATGCAAAATGTATTTTTTTTTTGTTCTGTAGAAGCACTTACTTTTAGAAAACTTACTTTTAATTAGTTAACTCTTTCTCAACCCATGTTATTTTCGTCTTTCATGGCCATCAGAATATTGTGTTGTGTAAAAATTCTGAACATAAAGAACTCCTTATCTGTTTATTTCATCCCCTTTTAGGCTAATTTTTTATGATCGTATACAGAACAAACTATCATCATACAATAACTTGCATAATTACCCTAACCTATACCTAGTTAACCTAATTACCTTAGTTAAGCCTTTAAATATCACTTTAAGCTGTATAGAAGTGTCTTGAAAAATACCTAGGAAAATATTATTTACTGTCATTATGGCAACAATAAAATAAATCAGTTATTAGAGATGAGTTATAAATTTTTATAAACTATTATATTTAGAAATGTGTTAAAAAAAATCTCTCTGTTAAACAGAAAACGGGGAAAAAATAAACAGGGGGGCTAATAATTCTGACTTTAACTATATATATATATATATATATATATATATATATATATATATATATATATATATATATATATATATATATATATATATATACTAAGCTATATGGCAGAAATCTCATGTTATAAGTCATCTTGAAAAGCTGATAACATTATATACAGTATATCACCATATAGTACATTTTCTCTCCCTTTTAATAAAAAGCAAAGTACATACTTGAAAATATACAAATTTATATGTAAACATATATCTCACTTTAAGAATGTGGAATGTAATGAAATACACAACACTTATCAAAAACTAATCATTACAGGGCCAAGATAAAATATTTATAAATAAAAATTAAAATGTAAACATTGAACTTTTATGATTACAACTTTCTCATGATGCTGTTATTCATGTTTTTGTCTGGATCTTTGTAATGACGTGTAATATTGTGCTCATAAATTATGAAAAGTTATTACCATAAACAATATATTTTGAACATCACAGTACAAATGATAAAGCAGAATATGAAACGATAGACTATTTTGTTTTTCGTTTTTTCTATATGATTCTGATTCTATTCTGATTTTTTCTATATATATTAAAATTATAATAAAATTATCATATTGCACAGCCCATCACATTGAAACAAGTTTAGATAGCTGTTGTAATACAGACAGGGCCATTTCTCATATTGGTCTGCTTTGTAATTTGCACTATTGTCCTTTTTTAGTACACTACCTGACAAAAGTCTTGTCGCCAATCCCAGTTGTAAGAGCAACAAATAATATATTGACTTTTAGTTGATCGTTTGGAAAAGTGGCAGAAGGTAGATTTTTCCGATGAATCGTGTTGAACTGTTAAATTGGGATAATCATTAAGATTCGCAAATACTGCAGAAGACCTATTGGAACCCGCATGGAGCCAAGATTCTCAATCCATCAAATTTGGTGATGGAAAAATCATGGTTTGGGGTTACATTCAGTATAAGACATGTGAGAGATCTGCAGAGTGAATGGCAACATCAACAGCTTGAGGTATCAAGACATTTGGGCTGCCCATTACATTACAAACCACAGGAGAGGGCAAATTCTTCAGCAGGATGACGCTCCATCTCATACTTCACCCTCCACATCAAAGTTCCTGAAAGCAAAGAAGGTCAAGGTGCTCCAGGATTGGCCAGGTCAGTCACCAGACATGAACATTATTGAGCATGTCTGGGGTAAGATGGAGGAGGCATAGAAGACGAATCCAAAGAATCTTGATGAACTCCTTGGGGTCCTACAAGAATGCTTTCTTTGCCATTCCAGATAACTTAATGAATAAGTTAACGGAGTCATTGCCGAGATGTATGGATACAGTTGTTCAAGCTCATGGGAGTCATATACAATAGTGATTCTTTTTCCACTGCACCATGGCTTTATGTTCTGTTAAGTTACAAGTCTTTTGTCTGAGCAAAGTCAGATCTTACTGTCCTAATTAAATAATTAAAAATCAAGGCATGATCATGTTCTATTTTGGAAAAATAAGCCTAATCTAGAGGCCTTTTGCTTTTCATATAAGCCACTTCTGATACTAAATGATCAACTAGAAATCAAGTTTATATTTGTTCCTGAAACGTGGATAGGCGACAATACTTTTGTCAAGTAGTGTACGTATTGGTTGTGTTTTGGTTATAAAAATTGTTGTCACTTTTCAAATTGCCACTTTTGCACTTGTTATAAATGTATTTTTAAATGCAAAAAGGCTCTCATTTAAAATTTGTAAAATTGCATTAGATTTTATGCAGGTGAGCAATGCTTCTGTCACTCGTTCGTCTGCTTCTTTACTTTTTTGGGTATAAACACTTAATTATTTCAAATGATGCATAATAGTGTGCTATACTATAATGGAGTAAATCTGTGGAATGACAGGACATGTGAAAGAAGGGTTGCCATACATGAGGAAAAGATATGTCAATTGTGATCAAGGAGTGTTAAATGTTACATTAGTTACAGTAATTTAACATTTAACACTTTTTCGGTTAATAGGCTACAACTTGGTTGAGGAAGATGTAGTTTCCATTACAACATATCATTAGACAAATGTGACATTTTGCATTTATAAATGATCAAACACAAATTTGTTAAACTAGTATTTCCTTCGTGACTCAGGAGACTCTTTCTACAGGTTACATCATTACACAAGTAGGTTCTAGAAATCACAGAATCACACACCCAGACATTCAAAGAAATGAGTACTTTTATATTTTCTGTGAAAAATACATATTCGTGTATCTGCAAAGAGATTATAGAAAATGCTTTACCATAATTACAATGTCCACACCCTTTTGTCAACTGTTTTTTTTTCAAGCTGTCCATTCATAATTGAGAATTAGAATCAAGTAAAAAGGGCATATTAATTCAGCAATCAATTTATTTAAAAACTATATGTTCTCTATGTTCATAAGTTTTTCTTTTCACCGGCAGTGTAAAAGTTGCGTTTCCCAAAAAAGTGACTGTGATTTATAGACTGCAGATTACCTTTGGTTTCCAATTGGAGCCCATGAGAGTGCCGTATTTGTACTTGTGAGCTGGGGAAATTAAACCTTGAAGCTGAAGGGTTTAAACAAGCTCAATCTTCAATTACCCTTTGATTTTCAGATTTTTACCATTCAGTAAGGTAGTACAGAAACGGAGGTGGGGGGAAAAAAAACAAGAAATTGGCCAGATGGCAGAGGACAAATGAAGCAATTTTAGCCTAGACTAATGGATGCCAGGCAAGCATCTGTGGTAATTCAGCCAATGTAAATACCACTTTCATGCCTGTCAGAACCCCAGTGCATGTCTCTTATATCCAAGTGCCAAAATAACACAAATCATTTGCTGGGAGATCCAATACCGCCATTCCCTCTCTGGTCTAACAGACAGGCATGGTCCCAAAAAATTAAATGATGGTGACTCACTCCAAAACAAAATTCACTGTAGGGCTGATACGCAACATAAAACAACACTGAAAAAGTTTCCATTTCAGACTTTCGCAGTTAAAGCACCAACTCTGTTCTTAAAAGTGACACAAACAGGGTCACTGTATACTGATACCACTTTTTTTGGTTCCAATTTAGCATTCCAAAGATGATCTGATCTGCAATATATGTGATCTTAATTATGTTTAGTCATGTGACAGTATACATGTAATTGTACATTTTCTCTGTGTGTGTGTGTGTCACAGGATCAAAATGTGGGGGTGCTAGAGAGTAGCACATGGAGTATGATTACATCTGTGTCATGATTTTGGAATAAATCTTCAAAAACTTTGTTGTTTTCATTTAATTTGATAATATTGCAAAGTTTACACATTAACCAGGAATAAACCTATAAACACTGTCAAAAAGACACCACTTTAATAAGCCTGGGTTGTATACACTAGATATCGCATATGGACCCTAAACATGCGTCACTACCGCTGCCAAATTTGTAAAGAGCTCCCAGGACAAATGTCATTCCATTGAAATTATTCAAGACTAAAGCCAATCTGAAGATGCTGGACATTTGCGCTATGTACGGGTGTAGTAACGAACAAACAAAGAAAACAAAGCATATAGGCATTTCATAGGTAAGGTTTCAGTTTTTACGATTTTGTACGTTACAAACTTTTTTGCTCAACAAGTAACGTCATTGAAGGTAATAGTCACTGCACTGACCATAAAGAGCAAAGCAGCACCAACTCACACTAAATACTAGGCTTATGCTAGTTTGGTTGAATAAAATCAGCGAACAATGTAAAATAAATATGTCAAATGGACGCTAATGCCAGAAACTTGTATTATCGTCGGCTAAGTGAAGTAACGTCTAGTAACTTATAAGGGTCCCTGATAACATAACAAAGCCTGCACCTCAATGTGCATACACCCTAAATTATTGAATATTACAAATGTTATATACCATTTAGATCAGAAATGGATGTGCACATTGAGACACAGGGATATCGATGGTTCACACAAGTCATTCATAACGGAGATTCATTCGCAAACAAATCGCTCCATCCGTTAGAATGAGAGGTGAAAGCAGGAGAAGGGTTTTGGTTCAGGACACAGATTAGATCAAATTCAACAGGGAGGAAGAATAATACATTTCCATGCACACAAACACATGCTCAAGGAAAAAACCCCCGATCATAGATATATGCATATACGTGTACATAACTTGAGCTCCAGATGGCCAGTCCTCCACTGCACCTTGGTCTCACATTCATTTCAAAGGAGCGCTACCCTGTACTAAAATGGTAACTCTATTGACGCATTCCTTCCGGTAGACAACAGTAGGCAACATCTAATGTAAATATCTATGGCCAGGGGCTAGCCAATGCTAACATCTGCAGGCAAGCTAACACAAACTTTGAGCCTAGAACAGTGTTTCTCAACCATTTTCCTGGAGGACCACCAGCTCTGCACATTTTCCCTGTCTTCTTAACCAAACACACCTGATTCAGATCATCAGCTCATTAGCAGAGACTGAAAGACCTGTAATAGGTGTGACAGACAAAGGAGACATCCAAAACATGCAGTGCTGGTGGTCCTCCAGGAACGTGGTTGAGAAACACTGGTCTAGAAAATCAAAATGTGGCCTCTCTGTACAAATGTGTCAAATATGGAGCAATCGCTCGTTTTATCTTTTTATTTTTTATGTCTAATCATCTTGTTTTATCCCGCCTCTTTTAACAGCACCAAACGAGAGAATGTTGCATGTTCAATATCAACTGTGACCGTGGCTTTAGGGTGTTTCTGTCTAAAGCTTGTGGAAATAAGGCCCATGATTAACTGTCAGTTTCTATGCCTTTGACCATAACATTGTAACACCACTTCATTTCACAATGCACACCTTTGGCACTGAAATGTGGCATTCACTTTTTGAATTGTAACTTTTTAAGATTAAAAGGTGACTAACTTAAAAGTGAAGTGTGAAGACTTGACCCGAAGTTAAAAACAATGATAATAACCTGAGGCTCAGCACAGTGTGAATAGTCCAAGTGTCTGAAAAAGATTCTAAACTGAATACAAAAGCATAGTTCACATGGAAGACTTTTGTAAAGGTCAATGTTTCTGTACTGCAAGCCTCTAAATATTGTGATGTTCTTAACAGGATGTCAGTGATCAGTAGGAATATATAAGGATGATTTAATTTCTTTAGGTAATTATCTGTTCTCAAGCAAGAAATTATTTTTTTCAAGTAAAGAAGTTTATGCTTTTTTATTTATTTATTTATTTTTTAAGACACATTAATCAAATAATAAATGGGTCCCATTTAATATCAGGTAGTCTTATCTTAACTATGTACTTATCTATGCATCAAAAATAAATAAAATGTACTAACTGTGTTCATAATGTACTGCAGAACACTTCTTGTGCTCTTGAAAATGTGGCGATCACAGAAATAAACTACATTTATTATATTACATGAAGAAATGCTTATTTTAGAGTTTAGTTCTCAATACTACTGGGATACTGATTTTTTGAATGAATGCAGCCTTAGGCATACGCTTCTGGTGATCGTCTTTCAAAATTATGAATAAAACATTAAAATATAATATATTACATTGCTGCAGTTTTACTCTAAATAGTCCAAATGACAGATATATGGGTCAATGTGGCCTAGAGTACAGTGAGATACTGAGGAAACCATTTCTCATATGTTTCCCCCCCTTTATGTAGTCCGTTATGTGGGAAAGAGAGCACTTATATTGGAGAAAGTGAAGCTGAAATGAGAAGGATCCACTAGAGCCAGATTCATTTATCCGAGAATGAGGAGCAGACCCCAGCACATCTGTGACTCCTGAAGATGCCTTGGTGAATTATATAACACAGCATAGAGGCAATAGTGAGACCAGCTCTAGAGAATTCCATTGAAATATTGATCAGGAGCTACTAAGGGTGAAAATATAGAGTTTGATTTGGTCACAAGCAGAATGGCGCTACTTCTTCTTTGAATATGAGGATAGATGAATGAAATATATGAATTTGCTGCGAAAAAACAGCATGTACACTCACTTTTGAGTCTTTTGAAGTCGTATAGGGGACTTTATGATGATCATTAGCTAGAAGTTTTCTATCAATATTCACTGTCACTATATTAAAAAGAGTCGCCATTTTATTGAGTAAAAACCTTTTTTCTCTCTCTCTTTGTCATTTAAAAAAAATGTGCATTCACATTTTGAAGTTTTAAAGCAGTTTTTAATCTGTTTATTTTGTGTGATAATTTTTTTAAGTATTCTAATAAGGCTAACATTTGTTATTAAAATCTGTACAAATATAAAAAGTAAACTTTAATGTATATAAATATATTTTAAAACATTACTCCAGTATATAGTGACAAATGCAGCTTTAGTTCTTAAAAAATACATGATCAGTATTGAAAATTGTTGCTGTTTAATGAGTTTGAATTATGATGAATCTTCGAGGGCAGCACAGTGGCGCAGTGGATAGCACAATCGCCTCACAGCAAGAAGTTTGCTTGTTCGAGCCTCGGCTGGGCCAGTTGACATTTCTGTATGGAGTTTGCTGCGTGTTCTTGCATGTTTGCGTGTTCGTTTTCCTCTGGGTGCTCCAGCTTCCCCCACAAGTCCAAAAACATGCTCTATCGGTGAATTGGGTAGGCTAAATTGTCTGTAGGGTATATGTGTGAATGAGTGTGTATGGATGTTTCCCAGTGATGGGTTACAGCTGGAAGGGCATTCGCTGCATAAAACATATGCTGGATAAGTTGGCGGTTTATTCCACTAAGGCGACCCCACATTAATAAAGGGACTAAGCCGAAAAGAAAATGAATGAATGTACATGTTTAATTTATGTTGACTTTTTGAATGCTGTTTGATGTATTTATGATTTTTTTTTTTCAGAATTCTTTGAATATAGTTTTTTTATTGATAGGAATATTTTATTGCCACTATTGATCAAATATAATTCAGTGTTCTTCCTAAATTACACAATATTAAAGGGCACCTTTTTTATCCCTTTTTCAAGATTTAAGAGAAGTCTTTTGTGTCTCCAGATTGTGTCTGTAAAGTTTCAGCTTAAAACACTCATCAGATTATTTATTATACCTTTACAAACATTAGAACGTTCTGCTCTGAACACAATGTAGTGGTTTTTGCTGCCTGTGCCTTTAATGCTGGTTCTCCCTGCCCACCGTTCCCATGTGTCTGTCAGAGGTTGCCTCAATCTCCACCTTGGTTGCGTCAGATAAACTGCGCAGTGACAAATATGAAGGAAGCAGATCTAATGTAACGTTTGTGAGAAATACTACAGTAAAAACTTTTCCAATGATTATCTGTTGTATTTGTGTGGAGTTAATTCAAGCCTTAAGCACACGTGTAACTTTGCACTGCAGCGTTTTATACCGTCTTTAACTTACTTTATTACAAACATGCACTGTCTTAAAACCTTTTAAACTTGTAAAACTCATTCTTGATAACATTTGATGATCATTGATGAAAACAGAGAGCTGAACAGATCTTTTAATCCCAGTAGCTGTGCGCACGTCCTGTCTTGTTGATGTGATTATACGCATTACTATGGAGACAGGTTAATCCACAGCAGTCAATCAATTTGGTGGGCAAGAAATCTGAACTCCTACGTTGGCTGCTGTAGGCCTCAAAATGGGAGGGATTTTAATCTATTATAATGTCAGGAAAAAAAAAAGACTTCTTGTTTTTATACTACTCCAGTATGACTGTGGACACACTATACCTGCACACACTTCTATCCAAACAGCTTTAAAAAGATTATTTTTAATTATAGGTGCCCTTTAAGACCTTTTTTATTTTTAATAATAACAATTAATTGTCTTATATTTATCCAGCAGGTTCCTTCTGACGATGCAAATATGATCAGTATCAAAGATGCTCACCAGAATGACCAGCCATAGTCCCATGTGTGAGGCCTCCAGTCTTCAGGTCCCAAGCTGACTGTAATCTGGAACACTTGTGTGTACATCATGTGGGCCACCATTCCCAGAAGACCTGTTGAGTAATCCACATGTCCAGTAAGTGTTTTGCTCATTTCATGTCACATCATACCTGTATAATTTTATTGAAAAGCAAAATCCCCTTTAATGTTCCATAGAAGAACAGCATGGTCTTGGAATAAAGAGGAGAAAATTATTAACCCTTATGTATGTGTTCTATATTTATCAAACTGAGTACACATTTGCGTCATAGAGATGGTATAAGGACACTCAAAATACAGATTTACAGTTCTATCCAACAAACAGTATTATTAACTTTTGATCCACTGGATTACAAGACCAAATCCCTGCATATGTCCAGGTAGAACCTGTTCCTATTAGCCTTACAGTACGGTCAGTGAAGTATGCTGGGTGAAGCAAGTGTCAAGGCCTCAAACGCTACAGCTGAGGGATGAATGAGTTTGCGATATTATGAAACGGCGTAACTGCAAATCCTCACTTGCATAACATTTGCTTTTTTTAGCCCATGTTACTTAAAATAAAACCTGTTACTCTATTGGCAAACCTATCATTCATAGACAGACAGACAGACATTGGCTGATTCTCCACATGTGTTCTTAAGCGATCTCACGTCCTCGTGTTATTATGTAACATCATCATCAACCTCCAAAGTTCAATTCCAATACTCAAAACAGAGGATGTGTAAAAGAACCCGGATGCGTTCTTGATATCAAGGATGCATCAAATATAGTCTTGAGCGGAGAATTCGCTCTCAAAGAAGTCACTGTCGCTAACTAAAGGAGGTGGGAATCACAGTGTTTTATGTATCTTTTTTTTTTTTTTAATTCAGATATTTAACTTCTTTATCACGGAAGTTTCCTTAAATGAGCCAGTGATAGTAAACATTAATAAGAATATTGTAACAAAGGCAGAAACACATTAAGGGTGTTTATTAGCTGAAATTCATAGTAAAATTACGTTAATTTCTATTGTGCAAAGTATCTTTGTAAGGCTTTTGGATGTTTATATATAATATAAAACATGTTTTGTACATATATATATATATAGTAAGTACATATATCTAGAAAATGATTGTCTAAATTATTTTTCGTTTGAAAACCTGTAAAGATCATGTGACCATAATAATGCAGAATCTTATTCATCGTTTTTATTATTTCTCTTATTTCTGTGTTCTTGCGGTCTTCCAAGTTCAATCTATTGAGGTGAATTAACAAGAGAATGCGAGTCCATTCTCTGCATTTTGGGAATTGAGAAACAGCCAAGCTTTCTGACATGTTTATATTCATTTTTAGACAACACATCACCAATGTTCTGGAACTTTAGGAATAACCCTGATTTTCAAGCACCACAAATAATAAATAATATTTGATATTTTGACGCCAAAATGCTTTAAATAACAATACTGTATTTGAAATTTGAAAGAAAATGTATCAGACATTTCTTAAACAAACATTAAAATCTAAATATTTAATTCATTGTATTAAAAACATCAATCCAGAGAAACTGAAGACTCTTTAAGTGGTCAGTTCATTTTTTGTACAATAATGTCAATGTGTCAAGCACTAAGAAAGAAATAATTCATTACAGATACACATAGCCAGATCTATATAACCTACAGTCTTACAGAAATTATACTTTAAAGAGGCATTAAAGTAATATTTGAAAAATGACAACATTGTCAAACCAACAAACACTTGCAATAAGGAGATTGTCTAGTAATTATAGTGGAGATATCAAAAAGAGCTAAAAATAGTTATAAACATATAAACATTATTTGGCAAAATTTGATTTGTGCACATTTAAAATTAAACTGTAATTATCGTAATATCACTGAGCTCATCTGTTGACATTTTGCTTATGCAAACAGGCACATTTGACCAGATGTTGTCATTAATCTTGTATAATTTTTGATATTCGGAGGAAAGTCTGCAGCACATTTATGCATAATTTTTTTAATGTAGCAGCTTTTTATTTATTTTCTGGTACCTTGAGTATTTTTACTGTTGTACCTATAAATTATCAGATGAATTTACACCAAAATACTGTTATGACTGAGATGTCAGCAGCTAAAGCTTTTGGGAATACTTTTGTCTTCCTTTGACAAGTTTAAAGCCTATTTATTTTATCCTAAACCATGTTAAACTGCTGTCAGCTAGATGGATGATTTCTCTCATCTCTCTCTCTCTCTCTCTCTGTTGCAGCTGGAATTAAAGAGGAGCATTAAGGCCCCAAATGAAAAGGGCTATTGGGTATTCAGCAAATCAAATAATCAAAAATTCAAAAAGCAGCAGCTGTTCTGGCTTTATAAATGTGAGGGTTTACCCACAATGCATCTGATATTAAGTAAAACGTTTAATTCTGTGAAATATTGTTTTATAAATCTTATGTTTTTTTTTTTAAATAAAATGTAATGGAAAAGCTGAAGATTTAGAAGTGGAGTTTGCATGTTCTCCCTGCGTTCACATGGGTTTCCTCCGGGTGCTCCGGTTTCCCCCACATTCCAAAGAAATGCGGTACAGGTGAATTGGGTAGGCTAAATTGCCCGTAGTGTATGAATGTGTGTGTGTGTGTGTGTGTGTGTGTGGATGTTTCCCAGAGATGGGTTGCGGCTGGAAGGGCATCCGCTGCGTAAAAATGTGCTGGATAAGTTGGCGGTTCATTACGCTGTGGCGACCCCTGATTAATAAAGGGACTAAACCGACAAGAAAATGAATGAATGAATGCCTGTTTGCTTTGTAAATGTTTTTTATTTTATTTTTGCATAAAGCGCTATAGAAAAAAATTTACTTGACCTGAAAACAGCGTTGCCTTTAAATAAACTTTTACCCCTGTAAAAGACTTCCACTTTTGATCAATTTAGTGTGTCCTTGCTAAATTCAAGCAGGCCTACTTTTTTCTTTCATCCTTTTCAATCCTTTACCTGAAAATGCGGTCATTGTGAAAGTCGTAATGAGACCAAACATAAGAACGAGGCTGTGTGTTTCTGTATGAGTGATAAAAGTAATGAAGTAATGCACAATTTATTTTCTCTAAGTGTGAGGTGGGGACATGGGTGGAGGCCTACCTGACAGCACGGTGAAGACTGCGGCGAAGGCGTTCAGTTTGAGTCCATCGATCACATTACTGGAGTGAAAAAGCTCCAGGCACATCAGACTGAAGCCAACGACCAGCAGCATGATGTATAGCACCTCAGACACAACTGACAGCCAAAGGACACCTGCAATACACACACACATACACAGGCACACTGGTGAGCAAAGCGCTCAGCTCCTGCTCCATAATTCTCTTTGCCGCTTTTATTCACGCGATTAGATTCAAGTGGAATTTTAGCAACTCGCCCCCTGCTAATAAAACAGACATGGGCTGGACATATTTCTGCATATCACATGCACTGTAAAAGGTGTTTTTTTACTTTGCTTAAAAAAGTGAGTAAACCTGTTGCAGTTAAAGGGGACAAGCTGACTTTACCTAAAAAAACAAACTTTGTAACTTGGAATTATGTTGATTAAACTTAATTTTTATAATTATGCACAAAGTTTTGTCATTTACTTAATGGTGCTGTAAGTACGTTTTTGACTCTTCTAAAGCATTAAAATACCATAATATATTTGCAGATATTTATTTATAGATTAATGTGTTTTCTGTGCCAGATCACCATCTTTGTTTTGGTTTCTTTTAACCTGCCCAATGCCAGTTTAGCCAATTATATTTCAGCATCCTCAGGTGCCTTGGTAGAAAACTGCCTAGTTCATTCATTCATTCATTTAAGAAGGCTCTCAAAGCATGCATCCGTGACCGAAATGCGACCTCCGTTGGACAGTAGCAGACTCGGAAATGAGACGCAGATTCAGAGCTCCACATGCGATTATTAATTATCAAATAATATAAATATTACAAGCATAAACATTAGGTGAGCAGGTTACATTGTAATCGCGTGTCCTAACAACATGCTAACACCACTTGCAGTGATGAGCAATTTGGCTGTTTGAACCAGACGAAACACGACAGAAATTTAAATACAGCCATTCAGAAGCACAGACTATACACTTACTAATGATATGGTAAGCTTTATAATCTAATTAATACACATCAAACCTCTTTAACATTATGAAATGTAGATGCTGAATCACTGATATGTGTTGGTTTGCATTGTTTCACAATTCTATAGTTCATTTTCAAATGATTTATTTTATTATGATTTATTTATTTATTTTATCTGCTGCTGCTTTCAGTAGTATGGCAATAAATGTCATGTAAAATGGCATTCAAACTCACATTGTTAGTATTTAACACTTAATAAAGCACACAAGGTGTACCTGAGGTGATCAGTTTATCCTGTTGTTCAGCTGCAAGAAATAGAAGCAGTTTCTAAAATATCAATTCGAGGTGTTGGTTATAACAAAAACTCCTTTTATTGCGAAAAATATTCCTTCTATTGCATACCGATGCTTTCATATAGAACTCAACTTAAATGAGTCTAGGCTCGATCGTCAGACTCGCTCCTCAATCTCAAACCTGTTCTTGCATTTGTTTTGGTCCAGGAATGTCATAACTAGTTCAACCACTGGATGTCAAACTTACGTACTGCACCTTTAAATGTTTTAAGGCAACTAATTTACTCACCTTTTAAATAGGGCAACTAATTGTTTTAAAATCAACAAGTAAGTAAAGACAAATAATGTTGTTGTTTTTTTTTTTACCATGTGGGTGTTTAGAATAGTAAGTAATAATTAGATTTAAGTAGATATTCTTGTTTTAAGCACATTCACCAATGATAAGTGCACATTACAAAGCTGAATTAAAACTGATAACAATGGTTTTAGGATTTTTGAATCATGTAAAGCAATACAACAATATGAATACATAAATATGTAATAGTCTGAACTGTAGGTCACTAAACAAGTTAGCAAAACTTATGGAGTATTAATTCAAAGTTCATCAAAATGATATTCTTATCTTAATACTATTTAAATCAACTTGGTTTCCTTAAACATTACTGCAATTCAGTGATATTTGTAAGAGACTTCATTCATCTGTGCAATCTCATGAACACAGATGTGTGTTTAACAGAGCTGGTGTTGATCATTCAACTCTCAAATATTCTCTAAATGTTTGTAAAGAGGTAGCTAGCACATGTTACTATGAACTAGATATGCCTATGTGTAATTCACATGCACACGCATGATTTCTCATCCTGTGACTGATTCATAATGGGGAGATCTAGTGTGTCGTAACTAATGAAAATATAGTGAAATATTGCAGTACAAAGAGCATTACTAGTTTTAACTTGACTGTGTGTCATGCATTTAAAATCATTAAACGTATGGCAAACAATTGGTTATTAATTACTTATTCCTGTGATGGCAAAGCTGAATCTTTTCAAAAGCTGTGTTCGTGCTTATTTATATTTTTGTCAATCCATGACACATTTTAGTTTAGGGTCATTTGATGGATAGACTTTTTTTTTGTTGTTGTTGTTTTTAATGATTTAAAAACAACATACATTTTTAATACATTCTAAATCTGAAAGTCTTTATTGTCCCTTTTAATTAACTATGTCCTTGATGAGTAGAAGTATTCATTTCTTTTAAAAACAAAACAATAAAAAAACTTACATTCCCATAAGTTACATATTTAAGAAATAAAAACAATTAGAATTAAATTAGAAAAAGGCAAAACAGACACTTTTTCACTGTAATGGTACTTTATACTCCAAAGACAAGCAAACAAATGCATAAAGATTTCCATGTGTTCTTACTAAAGTCAACTTTCTCATTAGCGTTAGTCAAACTAAATTTGACATGACAGCAACATCTGCAGTTTGGAAAAACAAAGCTGCCTTGTGTCTCTAAAGGATGCCTAATCTTTATTTATATTTAAATATTTTCCAATATTTTTTTTGAAAGAGATTAGGGAAAAATTTGACTGTATCCATCAGACTGACTCGAGGGTGTTTCTGTAACAGCAACCTGCTTCGTCTAATTAGCAGAAATTGCCCCAGAGCTTCCTCAGAGGAGGATCCGGCATGAGATGGCATTGGTTGTTCTGGTGTGAGAGTTATATACTGTTTAATTTTAAAACTCACCTTTTAGAGCTCACCTAACAGCCTAGTCTGCCACTAAACTTTTGCTACCTATTATCCCCTCTGAAATTCAGCTTCATTTTGGGTTTCCAAACGCATTCCCTCGCACACATGGTGAATAAAAGATGACAGACTTTTAGAGAAACGCAGGTGGTGAGTGATTAAAGCATCTTTACCTGAAATATGACGGCATTATGCAATATTAATGTCTTGAGTGCTTGTCTTCAAGAGTTCAAAAGCGGCAGGGCACCTTTGAAAGTCTGCCCTACACTCTTCATAGACAATTGTAAACAATGTCGATTTTCTTGGGGGCTCCTTGAGGCTCTTTTAGAGAAAAAAGCACACTATTTAAGAACTTGATATCGTATGAATTGTGGCGTCATTGGAAGAGGAGAGAGATGGAAGCACTGAATCTAATGTTGGCCTGACCTGAGAATATTATGTAGTCATAAATCAAATTTCTCATTCTAATGTTTGCACAAACAAGGTCTTGACAATCTTCTGAGAAAACACTTACGTAGAAGGATGAATCTGAAAACACCTCAATCAAAATACGCTACCACCACTCTTCGGCTGATTCCACAAATATCTGCAGCTTTGTATTAAACGTGATTACCACCAGAGACCTTGAGTGTCAGTCATGACTTGTAAGATAAAAACTGGAGTCTAAACATAACGGGGAATGGTGTAGTTTGCCTTGCAAATGTTCTCCCCTGAAACTGTGGCAGATGCAATTTACAAGCAAAATTCATTTTCCTTTTTTGATTGCGCAGTATTATCTGCAGATTTGTTCAAGGCGAGATGTATTATGCAGTAGTTCCCTCCCTGAACTGAAATAAAATTCCATATTCAAAATATTTCCCCTGTGAAGGCTTTACGCAGCGAAACGGGAAAGCACATTAAAGCCTGTCTTTTAAAATGATTTTTAATAACAGATTTGCATTATCAAATGTAAATGTAAACACCAAACATATTAGATCAATATTGTATCACGATTTGATTCTTTGATTTGATTTAGTTGATTCTTCAACTACAGCCCTCTGGACATCAGAAAATAAAACTCACAGTTTTGACACTCTTCCTGTTTAATTAGTTTGCTAACTGCTAACAAGGTATATTTTGCCACCGTCAATTGTATTTATTAAATTATTTATTGTGTTTAATGTCATTCTGTGGTTAAAAAAAAAGGTGATTTATTTAAACATTTTTGGAAAAATGGGCAACTTTATGTATACTGAATTTTATATTTACAAAAGATTTTCATTACAAAGGAGAGAGGAAAAAATGCGCAATAAATGATTCACAAATTATATTTTAACAATATTTATGATGAATGTGCATACTTTAAAATAAAATAAAAAAATCTTTGTTTGGGATGATAATAAAAAAAACACAAAGGTCAAAAAGTTTAAATCAGTTTTACAGTAAAACTGAAAATGTCTGCTGAAGAATCACCCTCACACACTACACTAGGGGTGTATATAGTTTGTTTTTACACACTTTTTATTCATAGAACAGTGCAGATAAGAAAAGAAATAAATAAATGTTCACATCCTGACCTGATCAGAATGTGTCACATGGTCAAAGGCCACAGCTATCTGAATGACTATATATTTATATATTGAGGATGTGTTGCAGTTCAATATGACAAAATACAATCGTTTTGGGAGGTCAAGAGAAAAAACTAATAATTGTTAAATTTATGAAAATAATCATTACTGCTGTAAAGCATGCCACAAAATTGCTATTAAACCTGTCGTAAAACTTTTTACATTTATATTGTGAGGTAGGAATAAAACTAAAAATTCTCATGTATTTTATTTGTTATTGTCAGACACAGAATGACAGAAAAAAAAGTAAAGATTAAAAAATAATGTATTAATTTAAGATTTTGAAATGTAGTCATTCTAACACTAATGTAATAATTTGGTTACTTATTAATTTGGTTATAATGTTACTAATAATTAGTAATTAGTTGAAGTAAATTAGTAAACTGCATTTCACAAATGTTACTGAAAACATAATGCCATTATCATGACAGGAATGTAATGAAATGAAAATGTCAATTCCACAACTTTCATCATGTTCAGTAGGATTCAGTTGTAAGTCTGCAAAGTTGCTCAAAATTCATTTACATTTAGATGTTGTAAATTTGTTATTATTTTACAGTAGTAATAAATTTATTATATCAGTGTTGTACATTTATGTGTCTACGGAAACGAATCATTTGGTAAAATTACACTTTACTTACATTAAATACTAGAACAAATGACTTGAGAAGATGTTCATGTCCAATTTCTGAGCAGGAAACTTACAGTACTGTATATTTACAAGGATTATGCAGAATTAGCCCATATTGTGCCTGTGATTTTACCCAGTTACCTTTACCTAATTATACGATCAGTTTGTTTGCAACCTAATTTGAACTGTTCTTGGTAAACTTCATTGGTTATAATGTAAATGAGCTGTCTGTGTCTGTGTTTGTTAATTTACAAATTGCACTAACTTTCCCTGTATTTGTAAATCTGGCCCTTGGGCAATATACCGCACATGTTGCAGAATATTTCCTAAAAATAAATGCTTATTAAATAAAGGCATAATGCGTTTTTTAAGACAGTGAAAATAAAAAGTAATTTTTTTATTTACCCCTTATCAATGATGCAAACTATTAAAAAAAGATGAGCCCACAATGTGAATCTCTTAATGTATTGATGCAAATTGAACATTTTAATGTTTTCTGTGTGCTTAATGAGCAATGTAATGCTAGTATTCATTTTCTGGGTGAATTGGTTCATCTATTGTTTTGATTATCAATGAGGTCTATAATATAATTCAGTTGAACTGTCTTACTACATTAGCATTTACTAAGAACTTATAATAAAGCGAATGGCTGTTGCTTTTCCTTCAAGAAGAGCATTTCTTTAAAGATGCCATCGAATAATAATAATAATAATAATAATTTCCTACATTTATATAGCGCTTTTCTAGCCACTCAAAGCGCAGACCGCACACCAGCTGATTGGTGGAGAGGAGACAGAGTGATGAAGCCAATTATGATTTGTGGATGGTTAGGAGGCCATGATGGACAGTGGGCAAGTTTGGCCAGGATGCTGGGGTTAAAGCCCTACTTTTTTTCGGAGGACATCCTGGGATTTTTAACGACCACAGAGAGTCAGGACCTCGGTTTAATGTCTCATGCAAAAGACGGTGCTCACTGAGCAGTATAGAGTCCCCTTCACTTTACCGAGGCATTAGGACCTACAGAGACCACAGGTTGAGCACTCACTGCTGGCCTCACTAACACCATTCCGGCAGCAACTTAGCTTTCCCATGTGGTCTCCCATCCAGGCACTGACCTGGCACAGCTCTGCTTGAATGCATTGAAACAATATGTTTAAGTTGTTCTCTAATTTAAATAGAAGGTATGCAGCTTGGGTAAAAGCAAAAATTCTCTAGAAACACCTTTACAGGCTATTCAAATTCTAGATATTTGGCCCTATTATGATATGGTTAATTTGAGAAATTTTAAATTATTTAGAAAAGTTGTGATTTTTTTGTGAGCTCTGCTCTGACACAGCATGATGCACCCCAAAATACACACATGCAAAATAATCATACTTTAGTTGCCAAAATATTTTTTAACAAATTGAGTAGACTCTAACGTAAGTGGTAGAGAGATTTATTTTAGCTTGGAATGTGTGAGATATCTTTATGCTATCAGAATATCCTAGTTTGCTCCTGAGTTGCGTTGTGGATAAAATATTGGCTAAATTATAAATTTTAGTTGTATTTAATGGTTTTAACATAAATAAACAAAATCAAAAAGGGGTTAATATCCACCTCTGAACAAAACAGATTTGTTTTTTTAAGTTTATTGGTGTAGCGGCATTTTGCTCTAAGCCGCTATCTCATTAAGGGCAGACAATGACGTGTGAGACTGTTTTTCATTGTTTATTTTTATCACATCTTGTGCCGTCAAATTAGTAAAATAGCTTTATTGCTAATCAGTACCACCAGTCACCACATACAAACTCATTGTCTGAAAATTTTTCCTTTTCAATTACTAACCCCACCTATTACCTTAGCTGCTTTAGATGCAGATTTGCATCGATAGAATAAAAAACTTCATCCACAAAATCAAAACAATAAAGCAAATACTCAAATCTGAATAATATCCATTATGAAACGTAAACTTAATAATAATCAAATTATCCAATTAACCTATTCAGTCCAAACATAATAATAGTAGAAATGAATGGCTACAACAATTGGCTATTGTGGCAATTGGCTGGGTGTTTTTACTCCAGAAAAATCACACACTAAGAGCGGAGTAATATGACATGATGCATAAACTTGCATCATACATTTATTTTCAGCGGTGTGTTTGTTGCCTCATTACAAACTGACACGTATCTGTTGCCTCATTACAAACATATGTGCCAAATTTGACAATATACACGGTAAGTTAACATAGATACAGTTAAACAGACATTATGCAGCTTTATGTGTCTTTGAATAAAGGCTGATTTATACTTATACTACAGTGTAGCCTTTGCGTGGTCGCATAGCCCTTGCCGTGGCTGACCCCAACGCTGACACGCACCTCTCAAAAAATATAACTACATATCGCAATGATGGTCAGCCCAAGGTCTGTGATTGGTCAGCTTGCTAGCTGTGACGAGTGTGGGCGGAGCTGAGAGCCGCGAGCCGAATGGAGCGAGTGTTTACAAGTGTGGAATCACGTGAAGGAGCTTCAGATGGAAACTTTAGTTTTGTGTTTACCTTATGACTAAAGTTGTTGCACGTCAGCCGGTTTCAGCCTCAGAATGAACGAGTTTTAGCTACTTGTACTTGTAGGGTAGCGTTCAGAAAAAACAAAACACCAGCAAAGAAACTCGACACAGAGAAACGTAACAACCTCACTGCCAGATAACATTTAGGAAGTGTTATTGCAGAGCAACACAAACAGCACGCAGAAGTGTAGATGCATGACTATGCAAAAAATCGCTCAACACAGAAGTATAAACCAGCCTTAAACGTACAAGCTGTCTTTCTTGAATTTTTTTATTCTGAAGTTTTTTTTGTTGGGATGCTTCATGTTGCATTACCTAAGAGTTCTATAATGCTGGTCTCGTTTTTAAAATTAAGTGTCCCAAATACATATGAAATATAATAAGCTGTGTTAAACTTAGAACATAAGGGAAATTGTTATATAACTGTTTATAATACAAGGAAATCATTCTGGCCAATCACATACAGCCTGGGGCATGCATATTATGATCCCCCGTGGAACAAATGAAGTGTTTTGTTCAGATTGGCCATTTTCCCCTGTGATTTTACACTCACATGATTTACATGAGAAGGAGAAAACAATAGTGCTTGAGGCTCACGGTGTGTCATTTCCATGTACTGAATGCTATTTATTCAGCTATGCCAAGGTATATCCAGATTTTTAAGAGTCTGACATCAAGTGACAACTATGAATTGTTATACTTGGAGGACATAAACTGCACTGTCCTACAGAATGTGAATAGTTTGTCAAACATGCATACTCCGCTATAGCGCACCACACACATAGCATGAATAAATAAAAAAATAAAGCAAAGATTCTCCAAGGAGGAGATAAGAGATCTGTCATTTGTAGGTTTCAGTGCTGTCGGACAAGCCTGAACGGCGCTATAATGACAGCCATTACTCACCTCTCTCAGATGCCGGGGCCAGATCAATAAAACTCCTGCATTTCTCACCTGGAAAGACACAAAACGACCGAAGAGTTAACATCTGTGCTCGACAAGCTCTTTTTGTGTACTGAAAGTCAGAGGGCTCAGCTTCATCTTTACCGTGCTGCTTCCCAGTGATAAGACAGCTTTAGCAGTCTGTTTCCCCCTGCTTGACTCCATCACTTACATTTTGTCTATACAGATATTTGTAGTGTTAACCTCTATGTGTCTTTTGAGACAAGTGTAAAAATTTTGAAGCACACTCCTGCCTTTTCTAATATTAATCACCAGCTATCATATTAATGTGTGGAAAGTCTGAACATGCTTTGATAAAAGGAGTAAACCAATTGTCTGTGGTCTGACCAAAATAACTGTTTTAATTAAGATTGTCCTATGTGTCTCTGGGCTAAAACATAAAGAGGTTTTCGGTGCATCCTCTTAAATTGGACTTTTAATTAAACTGGTGGGGATAATTTGAGGCTCAAGGCCATTCCTTTGTAAAACTTTAGTCTGCAACTTTCGGTGATAATGAAGAAGCTAAACTGTAACTAAAGGACAGAGGTCAAATATGTGAGTGATGATTTAATTTTACATCATAAATACAAAGAGAACAATGTATTCAAATGCCAATGTTATGCTGTTGTAAATGTTAATTGTCTTTTGCAGTTCTCCTAAAATAGGCTTTATGCATCCAGGGTCAAAAACACTCTCATTTTTTCAATGGTTTCAGATGATTTATTCATCTTTCCATTTAAATACCTCATTCCACGAGCCTTTGATTCTCTGATTGGTTAGATTATCCAGTCTGTTGTGACTGGTCTACCAATTACAGCACATTTGAATCTGCCATTACCACATCTAATTTTCATCTTTAAAGGCTTTTTAAATTTTCAGTAATTTTATGCAATATTGCACAGTACCGAACAATGGCGCCAATTTGACCATATTATTTCACGATGAAACATTGAAAGAACTAGTTTATCAACATAAATCTCCACTGCAAGTTAATAGTTTGGCCGGGGAAGTTAGATAAGTATAATTAGAAGTATAATTCCACTACATAAGCATTAAAAAGAGTATGTTTATCATAATCAGAAAATTTGTTCATGAATGCGACCAAAACTTGACATGCCATAAATATTCTACAAAATAAAGATAAGCAGAGAAAATGCAACTGCATGATTAAACTAAATCTATAAGATGTGTTATGTTAAATTAGTGAGAAGTGTCAATTTCCAGCATTACATTTATAACTGTGTATATTGCATCAGATTTCTTTTAGCACTGAAAATAATACCCAGTCCCAATGTTTCTGTTGAGCTTATGAATACAGTGGTCAATTAGATATATTTGGATTTGTCACAGCTGTGCATGGCAATGTTTTGTTGTGTGTGCCACTTTGCATGAGCTTAGTGACTGATTTTACTTTCTTGCAGATTCTCTCATTATAAATACAAAGTGTTAAACAATCTAAGAGTTTCATTTTGTTGCTTTGGTAATTATAATGGGATTCTGTTTGGTGTGTGAAACTGCACAAGTTAAAATAAAAAAAAGTTGGTAACACTTGGTAGCACTTATATCACTTATATCACCTTTCTAAATTTTTGCAGGAGATTTTATGCGTGCTTATAACAAATTAGCGCAGTTATGTCATTTTAAATGTAACAATTGCATTGTTTAAAATGTCTTTATGAAAATTTGACATAAATACATCACAACCTGTCAGTGTCTTTAGGACAACTTGACATTTTCAAGACAACATAACTTGTCATAAATCTGTCATAAACATGACTGTCATGTGGCTATTGTAATTCTGTCAAGAATATTTTTATGATCATTTTTCTGATTAAGGAAAAAAATGTCATCAATATTTCTTAGTAAAAGTGTCAATACCCTCAAATAATTATATAACAGCATTTTTAAAGTCAAATAATTAAAGTTGTACAACCTTAGTTAACAAAATATTAATGACACTGTTATAAAATTCATAACAATCCTAATAGCCTCATGACAATCATGTTAGTAGCGCATTACTTTTAAAGAATAAGTGACAATATTTGAGGTACTTTTTTGAAAATGTAACATGAGTTACTTTTTAGTTTAATTAATGAGCTTTTAAAAAATAAATTGTTGAATTAAAATGAAAGTAGTCACAATGAATCACGCAGTCAATGAGAGAAGGTGTTCATCATTTTGAACTCAATGAAACAAAAACGTTGCTTTAAACTTTCAATAATCTGATTATACGGCCTGTATAGTGCTGGGGTAAGGAAGTTCTCAGATAACATTATCCTAAAATATTATTTTTTGATGTGTTTTTTAAAGGTGAATAAAAGTTAAGGTTATACAGTATGGTGTTAATTGCAGAACTCTTCTATTTAAAAAAGAAATTAAAAAAAAGTTCTGAAAGAGATCAAGCCTCAACTAGGTTTTAAAAATTTTATTTAAAAATGTAACGTATCGCAAGACTTACTATAAAAAATAACTAAGTAACTAGTTATTTTTGGGGGTAGCAATTCAGTATTGTAATGAATTGCTTTCAAAAGTAACTTTCCCCAACATTATGACAGATCTATGACAAATTATGTTGTCTTAATAATGTCAAGTTCTTATGACAAAAACACTGACAAGTTGTGCTGTATTTGTTAAAGTGAAGTTGTCATAACAAAGAGATCTCAAACAATGTTCTGGCTTTTAAAATGACATGCCTGGCCTGATTGACAGTTAATGACAGTTGTCATAAGCCTTTATATTCATGACATAGTATTCAAGGTTATATGACAGTCCACCGCCAATTATAAATCTGTCTTAACAGTGTCAACAAAACAAAATTAAGTGTTTTAGTGTGGGTCAAAGTAGATGAGCAGACAATTAAGACCACATGTTTTAACAGTAGAATCAGATCAGATAGATAAACATAATCACCAATGATTTGCAATAACCTTATTTTTGTGGTGCACTTTAATCTTCAAAATGTTGCATATTTTTTATATTCACAGGACGCTACATTGCACACTGCATGAAAGTTAATATTTAGGGGGATACAATAGTGCACTTTAAGCATGTCAAACCATTTTATTGTGATTGTCACAGGTGCAATTTCCCTTTTGACTCTGACAATACAACAGTATCTGTATATGGCTCAGTTTCTCTTTCAGTGTGCCCCTGCTGTATAAAGAATACAATAAATATTACTACTACACAAGTCTGCAGACACAACACTCATAATTCCAGGCTTGTCAGACTCAACAAAATTTTATGTGCTGTGTCGTCTACATCACAGACCACACAAGCCTTACAAAGTTTTATTACCTTCAGAAATCAAGATTTAAAGTAGGATTTAAGCTTGGCTAAAAAATATAAAAGCCATTCAAATGAATGTCAATAAACTGCACTGCTAAACACCAACGAAGTAAATTTAAGTTTAGTCATTACAAATTAAAGAAACAGGGCTCCAGAATGCACCAAATGTTTCACTTTGCGATCAAAAACATTAATTTGCAAGGACAGTTTTGCCAAGATCGTCAGTGTCAAAAATATAAATTTGCACTTTGCATGCAATGTTTGTTTACATGTGTGTTCTATAAAGGAGTATTTGGTGAAACTATGTCAATAACCCTTTAACTGCCTGCTCTACCAAATGGTTGAACATAATTTGACTGTTTTAAATAATGACTGTTAGAGTCATTTAAAGTATAACTGTTTTGAATAATGGTTTACACACACAGCATTGTTGAATTACAATCAAACAAACATAATCATCTTGCACTAGTACACTTGATTTTGCTTTTATTGTATAAAAAAAAGAAAAGAAAAAAAAGAAAACGTGTTAAATGAGAATCTGAAATATTTTATGGCATACTTAAAAAAATAATGGTGATTTAGTATTCAGAAATGTTTTATTTTGATTTGATCTTACATAAATTGGTCTTACACTTTATATTTTTCTGATTTTCGTAGTTTATGTATTAATTCCGGTACTTTTAGCATAAACCAACATATCAACATTTGGTAGAGGCTAATTTTTTTAGAAATTATGGAATGTGTTAGAAAAAAAAATGCATTGAGTGTGTCAACTAATGACGTTAGGAGTTAAGAAATGAAATCCAAAACTTTTTTTTCTTGGTGGGGCAGTTAAAGTATAAAAGTTTTATAATAGTCAACACCATAAAACTACTCATAGCCAAATTACTGCAAAGTGTAATCCACAAAAAGCATTGCCAGAATATGCCAAACATAATGAAAAATTTTCAATGGCATAATCTCCAAATGTCACCTTTATATGGCTAATTTAACTGATATTTTAGTCTGGAGCTCTTTGAAAGCATATGCCACTTGTGGCTCCTTGCAGAAACCTGCTTTATATTTGACAGCAGGAGTAAAGGAAAAAATCATACCGAGAGTGGTTCAGAATGTGACTGATCACACATTAGGCTGTCATCAAACATGACAGGGAGTCATATTCTGGATTTCATATTCTTCACCTTTAAGTGCACTTCTATTCTCATTACATCTCCCCTGGGTTTTTTTCTCTGTGTAAATAAGGTCCCTGGAGGGAGTTTAATCCTTCTTCTAGGCAGATAAGTGGCCTGTGGTAACCTCTCCTCGATTTGAATAAAGGAATCTCACTGCACCAAGAGAAATATATTAACCGATTACAAAAAAAACGGCCGGTGATGCAAGAACATGAGTAATTGAATTTCTTGTGGGCTTTATTTCAGCAGTTAGTTGAGGCGCTTTTGGTAATCGTTTCATTTATATCAATAACATGGAATGTCTACAATGATTCATTTTAGTCCAGTTGGTTTTTGGTTCCAGATTTGTGTATGCTGTGGTAACAAACATGTTTTAATAGAGCTATTTTTTAAAAATAAAAGCACTTGAATAGCATAAGTGGTTCTGCTGAATCTTTATTCTTTGAGCAGCTAATCTCTGGCACAATGCAATGCAAACATATTACATACATATCGAAAAGAATATGCCATTCATTTTCCAATGCTTACTGGAGGGAATCAGAATGACATGGGCTGACTCACTCATTATGGATTTAAGAGCCGTAATCATCTTCATTCAATCCATTCCCGCTCCTCCAATATTACATATGAATAAAGGTCCTTGGCTTTTGATCAGCTTCTAATGTGTTTAATCTGCTATCTGAGGTTGGTGGAGGGTAATTGCATCGGTAATGAGAGTGAATGATTTGATGGCCATTAGCATTATGATGTGGTACTGTATGATCAGGCACTGGCCAAAGCGAAGAAATCTTTAAGTATGAGTTATTAATTAGCACTTTATGTTTTCAAGCTCTCTATGAGTATAGCTTCACCACTCACATCAGTTCAATTCCTAGACGTTTTAGTGTAAAATGGGGACATCGGTCACTTTATGAGTCTTTACAGTTATTGATGGCTCTGGCGATTATGCAGTTATAATTCTGTATTATCATGCAAGGGATTTAAAACATCAGCAGAGTCAGAAAGTTGATGAAAGGGGAGCTGGTACATCTGACTGACAGCTGACCGGTGTATATTGCCTTTTGTTTTACTTTCTTGCTTTCATGCATTTCTGCACCGATCAAGGTATGTCAGTGGATAATACATGGACAATGTAATATATGGTAATGACGATGATGAATTATTACGCAAAGACTGAGCTGAGGTACTTGGTGGATGTGTGATGAGCTTTCAGCACAAAGCCTGTTTGACACTGCTGTCAGATTAATCATAAATCCAATTGATCACTAGATAGAAGAGGGTGTCAAAAAAAAAAAAACTCATAGAGTCACATAACTTAATCCTGAACTGCGTAACACACACTGACCTTCTCTCATTCTCCTGGCAAAATCTGTTGGGATTAAATTGAATACAGTACTGAACTGTCTGTTTACGTCTGTGTATTGAAGACATTATGTCATTGTGTCTGTAAGACCCGTGATCCTGTATGACTTTGATCCTGTTGACTTTACTAATGAAATATTCTGTGGAATTGCTCTTTGATGTTTTCCATTTTCACACTGTGCATCATATTGAAATGTCCTGAATGTTTCAATAATGTTTTCAGCAGAATTAATCCATTCGAGAGCCATTCTTTTGGAAAACTATGACTGATGGATAGTTCACACAAAATGAATATTATGTCATCATTTATTTACATCCACTAGATCCAATCCTTTGAGTTTTTTCCTCTGTTGTATAAAATAAAGTCTATTTTAAGAATATTGATAAGTAGCTATTGACTTTAACTGTGTTTTATCTTTTTAGTGTTCAACAGAAAAAATAACTGCATACAAGTTTGGAACCACTTGAGGTTGTGTAAAAGGTTAGTACACTTTTATTTTGGGTTGAATTATCCCTTTTAACCAACATTCAGAAATTGTGCAAATACAAAGTAAACATTTTGCACTATATCATTTATTTGGGTATCAAAGCTCTCATGCTGGACATAAATTAAAAGATTATTCAGGAATAAATGGGTTTATTTAAATGTAAAAAGGACATAGTTGCATTTTATATTATTATATGTATTATTATAACCTTTATTTTACCAGAAAATACATTGAGATAAAAAATCTCTTTTACAAAAGCGTCCTGGACAAGACTAGGCAGTACATGTCACATGGGTCTAACCGACAACAAACAAAAAACAATTAACAGTTAACATGAATCACACATTGACAAACAAACTACTCAAAACATCTACAGTATAGCCTATTTCTTAGTGTAAGTCCACTAACCAACAAGCACACTAAAAGTGGTTCATTTGTCAAATTATAATTTGAGTTTTTATCTCAAATTTGGGTCAAACATAAAGGGTCAAATTTAAATGGTCAAAGTAAATTTTTAACCAAACTGTTGATAGTTGACTAAAGACTGAGTTAAATGAAACCAACATTTGTTAAAGTGTTATGTTCTCATTTAGAATATGTGACAAAACTCTGAAAAAAATGACAGAGCATGTCCTTAAAATTTGAAGCTATCCAAGAGTTGCTTATTTCACTGTGTTCCATGGGGAATGTGGTTACCTAATGATGCCTTTACCAAGTTCCTCAAAACTCATTGAGAGTGAAGTAAATCCTAACAGATGTTTCCAAAGCTGCTGGCGCACAATCATTCCCGGTCAATCCATTGCGCAACATATTCACACTGCTTTACACACAACCTGTTGGAAGTTTCCTCAGCGTGAAAACACTCTATAATTTCATTATGGGGTAGCTACAATTTAATTTGCGATGTTGTCAATGAATGTTAATGGCTGTTAATTGAATGACATCATCTAAACCACCAGGTTCTCTCATTTAACTTAATATAATACACCAGCTTTCATACATGTTTAAAGCACTAATTTCACTTGACCTTATGAAATTGCTAATAACTTTGACTGGAAGACAACACAATATGTGTATATGAAGAATTTAGATGCAAAAACCTCTAAATGCGGTCTGAAATTTTCCTCTAAAATTTGTATTTTTACTGGGCTCCTGTGTATGTTCAGTAAAATCACTTTAATGGCAAAGAATAAGTATTTTTCCTGGTCTTTAAAGTAAAATATCTTAACATAAACAAAGGAGGCTGAGAAAAAATTATAATTTTTGTTGGAAATTCCAGACAGCGCTCAAGAGGTTTTTGCATTCATATACTGTGTGCTACATGGAGTGACCAAACAGTTTTATGTCTGTTTGTGTCCATTATTTCTATATGTTTAACTCTGGTTTACTAATTAAAACGTTTCATACAAATTTTCAACGCTATAATTCCTTTATAATGTAAAAAAGGTACACCCTGAATTTACAACGGTGGCAAGAAGCTGATATTCATTTAAGCTACACATAAATCAAATTCAAACCACTTTAATGTGTAAGAGACAACTATCCTCAAAGTTTGAGAAACATAAAAACAGAATACACCGACGTTTAGAAAAAGTAAACGCTAAAAACAACGCATTGTAATGAAGAAAACGGTTAGAATTCGCTATGAAATTTGAATTTTAACGGACTCCACGAATTCTCACCTCCTCCATGGATATTCTCCTCACATGAGTACCAGATCCCCGTGTGGAAATGCCTGAAGAGAAAGCGATCGTCGCCTGTTTCCCAGCTATAGTGAACTTTGCTGGGGTCTGTCTCGTTCACCCCATAGTCAATACAATTATGCCGTCTGTCCTTGCTGCAGTTGGGTTTAGGGACCCTCTGAGTCCCCTCGCACCAGTAGGTCGTGATGAACGCTGTCGTTGAGAATAAGAGTGCCAGAAGATTTAACCCCACAGACAGAAGAGCACGGCATTTTCGAGTGGTCTTCATAGTCTTAACACAAGTGCCTCTCACACTTGAACGAGTTCATTCAAAAAGGGCTGGAAAATCTGGATTGGTTTGAGGAAAGCGCAGCGGTTGCGCTCACCTTAAGTCTGCTCACCGGCCCGAAACGACAGCGACAGGTTCGATCTTCGCGCATAGGAAGTGAGGTGGATCCATTCGCTTGGAGACAGACGTGACTCAAGTAAGAAAGATCTCTGAAGCATCTTTGAGGCAGACACTGACGCTGCCAACTGTTGTGATCTCTCTCTCTCTCTCTCTCGCTTTCTCACTCACTCTTGCGCGCGCGTCTCCCTCTTTTATAATTTCTTGCCTTGCTGTCTCGTACAAGTATCCTTAATATGGCTTTCGTGATTTATTTTTTGGTTACGGTTCTATTTTGTAAACCTAGTTATTTTGACAGCTCTAAAATATAGACCTATTATTTTAACGTTTGATAAATCATGTATGGAAATTTAATAAACAGTGATTTTTTTTGCCTTTTCCATAACTTCTAAGTTTTCTATAAATAAAGAAAGTAAGTTAGTGAGTCCACTAGATACAATTGTATAGTTGCTTCGTTTAAAAACTCAGTTTTTATAATATAGCATTTGATTTAAATTAAAGTGCCTCATGGTGGCGCAGTGGGTAGCACAATCACCTCACAGCAAGAAGGTCGCTGGTTCAAGCCTCTGCTGCGGGTCAGTTGACATTTCTGCCTGGAGTTTGTATGTTCTCCCGATGTTGCCGTGGGTTTCCTCCTGGTGCTCCGGTTTCCCCCACAAGTCCAAAGACATGCCTCTAGGTGAATTAGGTAAGCTGAATTGTCCGTAGTGTATGTGTATAAATGAGTCTGTATAGATGTTTCCCCGTGATGGTTTGCAGCTGGAAGGGCATCCACTGCGTAAAACATGTGCTGGATAAGTTGCCGGTTCATTCTGCTGTGGCGACCCCTGATTAATAAAGGGACTAAGCAGCAAAAAATGAATAAATGAATTTAAAGTGTCAAATTTGTGCCCCCTTTTGTTTCATGTTGATTTCTTAATATAAATTGTTTGCAAAGTTTTAAAACCCATACTGTGTGATAAATTAAGTGTTTGTTACTCAACAAAACGAATAACTATGTACAGTAGATCTATAACATATTTGCATAATGCCAGCCTGAGGTATTAAAGCTGTCAGGGAACAGCTTGACCCTCAAATGCTTTTCTTGGTTTGTATTGTCAATACCCTGTGGAAAAAAAATAATAATAATGGTGAATGCAATTTTATTTTGGGTGAACTATCTATTTTTTAATAATCTAAATGTGATAATCTAAATTTAAGGCCATCATAACTGGAGCTGAAATTTAAATATACACTACCTGACAAAAGTCTTGTTGCCTATCCAAGTTTTAGGAACAATAAATAATAACTTGACTTCTAGTTGATCATTTGGTATTACGCTTATTTTACCAAAATAAAATATGATTATGCCTTAATTTTTAATTAATTAGGACAGTAAGGTCTGACTTTGCTTACACAAAAGTCTGGTCACTTAACAGAAATAATGTAAAGTATTATTATCAAATTAAAGAATATAAAGTCATGGTGCACTGGGAAATAAATGAAAACTGTGTATGACTCTCATGAGCTTGAACAACTGCAACCATACCTCTCTGCAATGACTCATATAACTTTTCAATAAAGTCTTCTGGAATGGCAAAGAAAGTCTTCTTGCAGGACTCCCAAAGATCATCCAGATTCTTTGGATTCATCTTCAATGCAGGAACTTTGATGTAATAATAATACTTTACATTATTTATGTTAAGTGACCAGACTTTTGTGTAATCCTGCTGAAGAATTTCCCCTTACCTGTGGTTTGTAATGTAACAGGCAGCACAAATTTCTTGATACCTCAGGCCCATGATGTTTCCACTCTGCTGATCTCTTGCACGCCTCCATATTGAATGTAAGCCTAAACCATGATTTTTCCTTCACCAAACTTGACTGATTTCTGTGAGGATATTTGGGTCCATGTGGGTTCCAATAGGTCTTCTGCAGTACACTGTCAGAAAAAATGTGCAAAATTTGTACCTTTTGGGGTACAATCGCTTGTCACTGGGGCAGTACCCTCAAGGGTACACCTGTTGTACCCTTTCACATGGGTACATATTTGTACCCTAGCAGTATGTACCTTAATGGGTCAAATATGTACCTCTGCTGACTAATTTGTACCTTACTTGGGCTATGGTACAATAATGTACCTTTAAAAAAGGTACAATTTCTCCTCCATAGGGATGAATTTTGTACTCTTTCATTTCAGATTTGTACTCCATACACAATAAATTTCATTTATCACATTTATTAAACATATTAAATATCAACATTTTTACAGGATGAATGTTTAAACATTACATCATTTTAAAAGAATAAAAAGCAATATTTTTCCATGAGTACAAACTGCACGATAATTGTACTTTTATACCTGTAACATTTTATCACAAACACACATTGAAAGATTCAAAACAATAACATTGTCACCTTTTTAGAAGATGAAAGTTTTAAACTATCACAAAGTCATACCAGATGCATAAAATTAAAAAAATAGCTGCTTAAACATTTTAAAACATTTTATGAAACAGCAAAAAAAACTTAATATTATTTTTTTAACATCAGTGCATCCCATTTCACTGAGCATTTTTACCAATGTAACAAAGTAATTTTTCTAAAACAACAGTAGACCTAATAAAGTACATTTTTGCTAGTGCACTGCACTCTACATTTTCTAAAAGCATCAAGAATCTCAAAGCAATCTTTTTCCATACAGTACATTGAAACATGTCACTTAAAGTATACCTTTAATCATTTTAGATCTCAAAAACACTTTTGATCAAACAGTTTTACACATTTGATTTGAAATTTCTAAACATTCTTAAGAAACAGTTTATCAGCAGAGTATGTTTCAAGAGCCTGAAAGTCCGTCTGTCTTGGTTTATAACACCCCATTCAAAGTCAAACTCTTACTGTATTTGCATGGAAATATGAATCATACAATAGCAGAATTAAAAACTTGCTACACAGAAACCAGTGCAGTATTGACATTTAAAATGTATTTCATTAGGAAAGTGTCATTTCTTCTCCATTAGCGGTCTCACATGCACACGAAAACAGATAAATTTGAACACCTGAATGTGTCAATCCAAGGATGTTGGGCGGAGAAAAGTCTTAGCATTGTTTCATCTTGTGCTTCTCAGTTGATTTGGGCAATGTTATTGAAATGTCTATAGCTGCTAGTCTTAAAATACTGATGCACAGACTCGAAACGCACGCATCAAAGTAAATGCAAAGATCCAAGCATTGCTGTTTAAAGCAGACACCGCAATACAAGTTCTCTTGGACAGCTGCACTGATTTTTCTTGTAATTTTGGATCTCCATCTTCACATCGTTGCTGTTGTTCAAATTCAAAGTGTTGCTCCATCTTGGGGAGTTGCTGATGTTCATTCTTTGCATTCTTTATGTAGCGTGGATAAGCCAAGTTGAAAACACAGTAAACAGCGAAGGATGTAATAATGCCTTTAAAACTGACTTTCAGCCATCTGTAGAGTTGGGTATGGAGCATCATCATCATCCCACTGTGAAAAGAAAAAGTAAAGGACATCAATAAACAATGTAAAATCTGTCAGAACTGCATAACATCTATCAGAGTATTACAAAGTGTTTAACCAACAGTACCCAAACTTCTCCCAGTGTAACTACTGTAAGCAATCAACTTTCTCTTTAAGAATATGGGGGAGCAGAATTAGAGCTGCACGAAAGTCTGAATCTATTGCAAAATAAAATCCATCCATTTATTTTAATTTCGGCTTAGTCCCTTTATTAATCTGGGGTCGCCACAGCGGAATGAACCGCCAACATATCCAGCATGCATTTTACACAGCGGATGCCCTTCTAGCTGCAACCCATCACTGGAAAACACCCATACACACTTATTCACACACTATGGCCATATTAGCTTACCCAATTCATCTGTACCGCATGTCTTTGGACTTGTCGAGGAAACCGGAGCACCCGGAGGAAACCCACGCCAACATGGGGAGAACATGCAAACTCCACACAGGAATGCCAACTGACCCAGCAGAGTCTCAAACCAGCAACCTTCTTGATGTGAGGCGATCGTGCTACCCACTGCACCACTGTGACACCCTGAAATAAAATAAAGACAAATAATGAAGTACTCTTAAATAATTTAATAATATAAAGGACCTGTTTTTAAAATAAAGAAAAAAATATTGGAATGTTTAGCAAATGCTGAATAAAAGATATTGATGTATTTTTATGAATTAACTTTTTTTAAAGAAAAACATTAAGGAATGTTCTGTATATAAAGGGTTTGTATATAAGGCCCATGAGTTTGAACATGCTAAATGCAGCTTGAAAAGGCACTTAATGATACCATCCAAGAAATAGGGGTTTGATCTAGCAGAATTATTATTATGTAAGTTTTATGGTAATACCTGTTAGATCATCTGCAAACTTCTATTCTCTTGCTTTTTTGTAGACTTTGGCCAGTGGAGATGCTTTTTTTCTTAATCAAGCTCAGGCACCTTTAGCACAAGCTGTCCTTGAAGCTCTGACTTGGTTGGAGATGGTTGATGAATGCATTCAGTCAGGTTCACCATGACTATAATAAATAAAAAGGAAATTAGTGATTCACTTTACCTAAAAACATTATCTAATATTCTTTGTTGCCATTTCCCTTTAGTTATCATTGTACAAATAGTTGTAAGCTTGAATGCACATATGTTCACCACAAAGCTTAAAAATTAAAAATTTATGACAATAGTCATAACATTTATAATAGTCATTTGATCCTACACTTTGGCTTATACTGACATTAAACTTTTCATTTAAACTGAGAACTGATTTAAAATGTGTGATCTCACTGACAAGGGTGTTTTTAATAAAGGGTCACACACCTTATTTCACTGGATACGCAGGACATTCGCATTACTCTTAAAAGATGATTCATCCTCACCAATTGCAGGAATCACCTATTGGATCAAATATAAGTGCAAAATAATGACAATCATAAAAATTCAAATATAACTTTAACACTTCACCTAACAGTTTCATAGAAAAAGGGAGATTAAATTTAAGACTGCACAATGAATTCCTGGGGAAAAAGTACACACACACACACACACATACATAATATATATATATATATATATATATATATATATATATATATATATATATATATATTATTATTATTAACAAACAGATGAAATACTAAATACTTACGTTATTACACTCTACTGCTTCCTCGTCCACTTCATTTTCTGAAAGAAAAAAAAATTATGATCGGTGTGAACTTGAGGTTAACAGCAAAAAAAAAAAAAAAAAGCTTTAAATTAGCAACTTAAAGGTTTTCGCACCTCGATCTGACACGACAGATGATTATGACTTTCTTGGACATGCATTTATAACGTTATTTAAATATGTAACGTTGCAAAATACAACTGCTATAAATGGACGTGGGTCGAGATATGCATAAACTAACGTTAAAGTTATATTGTTTCAGACATGAAGGCATTCACTTCACTCCTTTCCGGAGTAAACATGGACGTTAGCATGGACGTTAGCTTCCCAACACTGAGGAAATTCTGAGTTTATAAATAACGTATGCAATAAAGACTTAACCACATTATCCAAACAAAACTAAATGTGTTTGAACTGTTTCTCTAGACGTTTCACCGCTGTTTTGCCAGTGTCTCGAGCTCTGTCTCATGGCCAGGTTATGTGAAAAATCAAATTTTAATTTCTGGTCAACCTTAAATTACAAAAGGGTCCCCTCACGCGGCAGGTAACTCGACAGTAACGTTAATCTTAACTACATACACAAGGCAAAGTAACATCAAATATGAATTGAATATGACCCAACGGATATTTACAATACGTTATTTAACATTAAACTTACCAGCAAATGTCTGTGCTTTGTCTTCACGAGCGTATTCCAGCTTCTTTGCGTCCTTCAGGTCCATCCTCCGTCGATGCCGAGAAGAGCGTCAGAACAACAGTGCAACAGCTGGAGATTAACCGTCGCACGTAATCAGCTGGCATTATGAATGCACGGCGCGGGCAAGAATCCTATTGGACAACACGAATTCAAATCTGCTGGCTGCTAATGCTAAGTGAAAGTCAATGGACAATACCCCGCTGTGTAGACCCGCAAGTTTAAAAAAATATCATCTAATGTTTCACAAAATGTAGTTTTAAGAGTATTTCAGTCGAGAATGTAGTTGTTTTAAACTCGAATCGGCAGTTTATTTAAAAAGACAGCGCTTCTTTGACAATGTGCTTCAGTGAAAGCGGACTCTGTCAGCGGGAGCTTTATGATTCTCTCCCCCGCCGACAGCAGCATTTACTTCGGCCAGTCAATCTCGCATCTGCCGCTGGATTCAATCTCCCTCTTGTAGTTAAGACACGATATTTAATACATTTTGTGTATATCTAACGGCCAGTTTTTGGTCTTTTAAATCTATTATTTGTTCTCAGCTGTATTATTTTGGCAGTATTATTCTTTTACGTTTTAAAATAGTTTTATTAATTTATTTATTAATGCTACAAGGTTGCACTCTGTCTTTGTTTACCAAGCTGGTTACCTTTAATTAGGGGCCAAGCACCGTAGGTGCGTAGGCACCTATTGCTTTCGTTAGTGTTCTTATTATTATTATTATTATTATTATTATTATTATTATTATTCTTCTTCTTCTTCCGTTTCTTCCGCCGGATTTGAATGGCAGCCCATATAGGCGTATGCGGGAAAGTTGTATAATTTGGCACAATGATAGAGGCCAGTATTAACATTAATCAGGCCAATTATGAAGTCTCAAAATCAAACTCTCTAGCGCCACCACTTGTCCAAACTTTCACGTATGTTTATCATCATAACTTTTGAACCAAATGGGCTACAATCAAAATTCTTTTTTCCTCTGATTCCTTGGCTCAGTCCGATTCAAATCCACCCTATGACGTCATTTTCCGTCATGAATTTTTTCGCGCTATTTTAAATTTTTCGAAAAACCTATTTGATCGAACTCGTCCTAGGCCGTGTCTCCGATTTTCACCAAAATTGAATCACATGATCTACAGACCATGCCAACCAAAAGTTATGGAATTCAAGTTGATTAGACCAACCGTTTTCGTTTAACTTGCGAACTAATTTAACGTAGAACTTGCGAAAATGGACTTGAGGCGATATCTCTGTAACGCATTCACCGATTCACACCAAACTTGGTGTGTGTTATGACAACTAGGGTCTAAGGTTAATTGCGGAGTTTCGGCGCACTGCCCTCTAGTGGTCCGGAGATATTAAAAACTTGCTTTTTGGCTTAAAACGTCTCAACCTTTCGTCCGAAACTCATGAAACTGGTCTCATTACATCCGGCAGAGCATGCCGAGTCGAATGATGTCTGATTTTCACAGGTCAGCCATTTTGGGCGTCGCCCATTTCGATTTTTGGCCAAAAATGCTATATTTTACCAACACATTCACATATCATTACAAAACATGGCATGCATCTTCAACCCCATGCCCTGAAAGTACTCAAAAACGTCTGGAGCAGCGCCACCTTATGGCCAATAGTGCTTGGCCCCTTAATTGCTGCTTGCAGCTATATTTATTATTATTATTAGGGGCCAAGCACCGTAGGTGCGTAGGCACCTATTGCTTTCGTTAGTGTTCTTATTAGGGGCCAAGCACCGTAGGTGCGTAGGCACCTATTGCTTTCGTTAGTGTTCTTATTATTATTATTATTATTATTATTATTATTATTCTTCTTCTTCTTCCGTTTCTTCCGCCGGATTTGAATGGCAGCCCATATAGGCGTATGCGGGAAAGTTGTATAATTTGGCACAATGATAGAGGCCAGTATTAACATTAATCAGGCCAATTATGAAGTCTCAAAATCAAACTCTCTAGCGCCACCACTTGTCCAAACTTTCACGTATGTTTATCATCATAACTTTTGAACCGAATGGGCTACAATCAAAATTCTTTTTTCCTCTGATTCCTTGGCTCAGTCCAATTCAAACGCACCCTATGACGTCATTTTCCGTCATGACTTTTTTCGCGCTATTTTAAATTTTTCGCAAAACCTATTTGATCGAACTCGTCCTAGGCCGTGTCTCCGATTTTCACCAAAATTTAATCAAATGATCTACAGACCATGCCAACCAAAAGTTATGGAATTCAAGTTGATTAGACCAACCGTTTTCGTTTACTTGCGAACTAATTTACCGTAGAACTTGCGAAAATGGACTTGAGGCGATATCTCTGTAATGCATTCACCGATTCACACCAAACTTGGTGTGTGTTATGACAACTAGGGTCTAAGGTTAATTGCGGAGTTTCGGCGCACTGCCCCCTAGTGGTCCGGAGATACTAAAAACTTGCTTTTTGGCTTATAACGTCTCAACCTTTCGTCCGAAACTCATGAAACTGGTGTCATTACATCCGGCAGAGCATGCCGAGTCGAATGTTGTCTGATTTTCACAGGTCAGCCATTTTGGGCGTCGCCCATTTCGATTTTTGGCCAAAAATGCTATATTTTACCAACACATTCACATATCATTACAAAAATGGTATGCATCTTCAACCCCATGCCCTGAAAGTACTCAAAAATGTCTGGAGCAGCGCCACCTTATGGCCAATAGTGCTTGGCCCCTTAATTGCTGCTTGCAGCTATATTTATTATTATTATTCTTCTTCTTCTTCCGTTTCTTCCGCCGGATTTGAATGGCAGCCCATATAGGCGTATGCGGGAAAGTTGTATAATTTGGCACAATGATAGAGGCCAGTATTAACATTAATCAGGCCAATTATGAAGTCTCAAAATCAAACTCTCTAGCGCCACCACTTGTCCAAACTTTCACATATGTTTATCATCATAACTTTTGAACCGAATGGGCTACGGTCAAAATTCTTTTTACCTCTGATTCCTTGGCTCAGTCCGATTCAAACCCACTCTATGACGTCATTTTCCGTCATGAATTTTTTCGCGCTATTTTAAATTTTTCGAAAAACCTATTTGATCGAACTCGTCCTAGGCCGTGTCTCCGATTTTCACCAAAATTGAATCACATGATCTACAGACCATGCCAACCTAAAGTTATGGAATTCAAGTTGATTTGACCAACCGTTTTTGTTTAACTTGCGAACTAAAATAACGAAGAACTTGCGAAAATGGACTTGAGGCGATATCTCTGTAACGCATTCACCGATTCACACCAAACTTGGTGAGTGTTATGACAACTAGGGTCTAAGGTTAATTGCGGAGTTTCGGCGCACTGCCCCCTAGTGGTCCGGAGATACTAAAAACTTGCTTTTTGGCTTATAACGTCTCAACCTTTCGTCCGAAACTCATGAAACTGGTCTCATTACATCCGGCAGAGCATGCCGAGTCGAATGATGTCTGATTTTCACAGGTCAGGCATTTTGGGCGTCGCCCATTTCGATTTTTGGCCAAAAATGCTATATTTTACCAACACATTCACATATCATTACAAAACATGGTATGCATCTTCAACCCCATGCCCTGAAAGTACTCAAAAACGTCTGGAGCAGCGCCACCTTATGGCCAATAGTGCTTGGCCCCTTAATTGCTGCTTGCAGCTATATTTATTATTATTATTCTTCTTCTTCTTCCGTTTCTTCCGCCGGATTTGAATGGCAGCCCATATAGGCGTATGCGGGAAAGTTGTATAATTTGGCACAATGATAGAGGCCAGTATTAACATTAATCAGGCCAATTATGAAGTCTCAAAATCAAACTCTCTAGCGCCACCACTTGTCCAAACTTTCACGTATGTTTATCATCATAACTTTTGAACCGAATGGGCTACAATCAAAATTCTTTTTTCCTCTGATTCCTTGGCTCAGTCCGATTCAAACGCACCCTATGACGTCATTTTCCGTCATGAATTTTTTCGCGCTATTTTAAATTTTTCGAAAAACCTATTTGATCGAACTCGTCCTAGGGCGTTCCTCCGATTTTCACCAAAATTGAATCACATGATCTACAGACCATGCCAACCAAAAGTTATGGAATTCAAGTTGATTTGACCAACCGTTTTCGTTTAACTTGCGATCAAATTTAACGAAGGACTTGCGAAAATGGACTTGAGACGATATCTCCGTAACGCATTCACCGATTCACACCAAACTTGGTATGTGTTATGACAACTAGGGTCTGAGGTTACAGGCAGAGTTTCGGCGCACTGCCCCCTAGTGGTCCGGAGATACAAAAAACTTGCTTTTTGGCTTATAACATCTCAACCTTTCGTCCGAAACTCATAAAACTGGTCTCATTACATCCGGCAGAGCATGTCGAGTCGAATGATGTCTGATTTTCACAGGTCAGCCATTTTGGGCGTCGCCCATTTCGATTTTTGGCCAAAAATGCTATATTTTACCAACATATTCACATATTATTACAAAACATGGTAAACATCTGGCACATTGATAGAGGACCGTATTAACAATAATCATACCAGATATGAAGTCTCAAAATCAAACTCTTTAGCGCCACCACTTGTCCAAATGTTCATGTATGTTTATCATGGTAACTTTTGAACCAAATGGGCTACAATCAAAATTCTTTTTTCCCCTGATTCCTTGGTTCAGTCCGATTCAAACGCACCCTATGACGCCATTTTCCGTCATGAATTTTTTCGCGCTATTTAAAATTATTCGAAAAACCTAGTTGATCGAACTCGTCCTAGGCAGTTTCTCCGATTATCACCAAAATTGAATCACATGATCTACAGACCATGCCAACCAAAAGTTATGGAATTCAAGTTGATTTGACCAACCGTTTTCGTTTAACTTGCAATCAAATTTAACGTAGAACTTGCGAAAATGGACTTGAGGCGATATCTCTGTAACGCATTCACCGATTCACACCAAACTTGGTGTGTGTTATGACAACTAGGGTCTAAGGTTAATTGCGGAGTTTCGGCGCACTGCCCCCTAGTGGTCCGGAGATACTAAAAACTTGCTTTTTGGCTTATAACGTCTCAACCTTTCGTCCGAAACTCATGAAACTGGTCTCATTACATCCGGCAGAGCATGCAGAGTCGAATGTTGCTGATTTT